AACAGCTATATTTACCAAAATTACACAAAAAATATCTTGAAATATCTCTTCTGGACAGTCTCCTTGTTTAAGTTGTTGAATGCTGTCATAATTCTTGTCTTCGGTTCAGCTTTGGTGATACAAAAAGTTTTGTTGGTCGCTCACTTAACTGTGACCCAGACATAATAATCAAGGGGGTTGCAGTCTGGGGAGTTAGGTGGCCAGATGTAAGGGATGATATGGCTGCAGAAATTGTCTGACAGCCATGACTGGGTTCTCCTCCTTGTGTGGCATGGTGCAGAGTCCTGTTGTCAGCCATATTGTCTTCCAGCAGCCACCCTCTTGATCCAGGGAAGCACTACATTCTTAAGGCATTTTGTGTTGAGTCTGAGGCCGTCACCAACAAATTTGGGAGTTCTTATCAGAACGATCAGAGTGAGTTTTCTAGGTTGCCATACTTTTGTAATCACCATTAGACTCATCCAACTCTTTGCACTGTCTTCAGATTGACATCTAAACTCTCTGAAATGTTTGTATTGGAGCCTCTGATACAATTGCCAAGCAGTACAGCATTCCATTTGAAAATTTCTGGTACAGTGAATTGCGTAATGGTGGTCTTTTTCTGACAGATGGTACCCAACTGACCCTAGTATATTGTGCAGTGGACAAAATCAAAAACGAACAATGTACATTCGTGAAATTGTCTGTTGATTTGGGTCACCTTCAGGGAAATTTGAAAAGTTACTTCACACATAATAACAAAGATGAAAACCTTAGCCTGAATATAAAGAATCATTTTTATTTTCAATTCATTCTTTCTTTAATTCCACTTGCATCAGGCCAAGAATTTTTCATACAAGTTTACCTATAACATCAAAAAACAACACTATTTAAGTAATTTTACAATTGTGGTATATTTAAAAAATATCAAATTTTATCTAGTTTTTGTTCAATAATTTCTGAATATTGAGCTAAGCAAATAACATTTTGTTCACCCTTTAATAATTAAATAATAAGAATTTGACATACAAAAATGTTTGTGTGTGTGTGTGTATATATATATATATATATATAGTTCTCCTCTCTCTGGTTCTCTTTCCATTTCTCCTTCTCTCTCTCTCTCTCTCTCTTTCCATTTCTCTCTCTCTCTCTCTCTCTCAGGTCCTTTTCCCATTTCTTCCTTCATCACATGTAAAATGTAATATAAAAAGTCCTCTTTTATCTGCCATGAACATTTTAAATAGTAACTAATCATAGGTTTGATAATCTATTTCAGTTTTATTATTTTTATGAACGCCTTGCCATAGAGCTATGGTTAACTATCTTGTTTCACAGGCCATTACTACTGTAGCAATCCTTACCAAATGTCTTCATACTTGAAGCATTGTTTAGTATAAAGGAATAAAAAAATTCTTTTTTCTTAAACAAGGTTTTGTGGCAGGTTCTCATTCATTGGAATGAATAATTTCTACTGTTTTCTTTCCATGATTGGCAGAACCCGATTCTGGTAGGATTGGCACTAATCTTCTTAACCATAACTATTCATATTTTGTGACAGAATAATGGTTTCAAAGTGTCCCAATATGTCAGAAATTTGGCCTAATTGCTGGTAGACAGTAGTTTAAGACTTTTCTCCTTCTCTTTATTTTAAAATGTTACCAAACTGAAGACATTTTTCTTTGATTTGAGATTATAAAAGAAATTGTTTAAAAAAAAAAATCACCTGTTTATGTCTATTGGTTTTAATGATTTTTTTTTCTTTTGCAGCAGAAAAGCTTTTTGTTTCGGTATTATCGTCTTACGATGCAAGTGGATGGGCCTTTGCAATCTCAAAAATTTTGTCTGTCCATCCAACTGCTCATTTGCAAATGGATGTTTGTTGTTTAAGATTCTGCCAAAAATTCGAATGCCTGTATATAACTCTCAGATATGTATGTCTCTTGGAGAGAAAATAAAAGAAAGAAACGTTAGAGAAAAAAAAAAAAGCTGGATTCCTATAAAGTGTATCAAAAACATATTACAGTATTATCTATACTGTTTAGTGGTATCTTTTGTTTTAGATATTATAATGGTAGATACAAATGTTGAGAATGAGGCAGTTTTGAAACATTATTTTGAAGTGGAATTTATAGCCATTTTCAAAATTTATGAGGTATTAAGAAATGAAACAATATATTAGCAGATTGCCCAAATCAGGGAAACTTGCCATATTATTTACATTGTAGTGAACTACCGTCATTCTTTTCATATTCCATTGTTAAAGTGTAAGTTCCACTTGAGCAGCTTTTTCCCATAAATCACTCCTTTGTGAAGAGGCTTACCCGATCACTACAATCTTAACCTGTTCAAGTCTCTAGGGCTAAACCTTATCTTCCCCACATGTGCCTCTTACTCTGGAACTCTCTACCTCGAGTGGCTCTCAGGCTTTGGACAGGGTGAAAATCATTAAAAAAAAAAGTTTTTAATGTTCATGACTAATCCCAGAATTGATTATGATTCCTTAGAATGTGAAGTAGAAAAGAACGCAATCACCAGTGTGAGACAACATTCAGCATCATTGAAAGATATCCTATGAAGATCACTCTTTTTTTCTTTTCTTTTTTTTATGTCGCATGTCCCTTCAGAACAAAGCTCTTCACACCTATACTTTGCAGCTCTAAGCTAATCCTTATTCTGCTATCCATTTACACAATCTCGTCTGATGTTAACCTTCATCTTCGTCCTGGGTAAGACGATAAACTACGTCTAACAGCAAGGCCTCTGGTCAGAAGGTTTTGAGGAGCGTGGAACCACCTCTTAATTGCTGGTGTTCGCAGGTTCATCCTGACCCGAGGTGGTAGCACCTGTAAGGGTCCCAGCTATGGTTAACACCCAAACTTGTGTAAAAATAGGTTTTAATACCAGAAATACTTTGCAATGAAAAAAAAAATTATTACCAGCAATAATTTTTGAAGGAAAAATTATCATCAGCAATACTTTAAAAAAAAAAAATACCAGCAATAGAAACAGTTATACATTCTTTAAAAAAATATGACCAGCTATAGATTTCTTCAAGGAAAAATTTTCCCAGAAATAGATTTTTGAAGAAAAACGTATTACCAGCAATAAAAATTTTGTCGGCATTAAATAACACATTGAGGATGATACGCCGTAAACCAAACCAAACCAAACCATTTCCACAATCTTATTATTTATGTTACTGTTTTCCTGTCCTGCTATGTCTTGTAAGTGCCAAATTTTCAAAACCTTGTTTTCTCATTATGTATTTTAGAAATTTTACCTATCTGATTTTAAGTAAAAGTGTCTTTTTTTTCTTTTTTTTTTTTTTGTATTTTCCTTAGAACATCCCCAGTCTTCACATTTTCCATTCATGATATTCTCAACATCCTTCTGTAGAACCACATGTCTGCTACCTCGTCTCCTCTTCATCTGTGTGGAGAGTGTCCAGGCATTCATTGCTATATAGGAGGACTGATATTACATAGCTGTTCAGCATACTTTTCCTGTTTCTTGATTCTTTCAGCCTTTTAGAAAACCATTTTTTGCCATTGTAATGACTTGGGATTTCTGTGTCATATTTTCTTTTATTCCTTAAAACAAATTTTAGTTACATTTCTAAGCTTAAAAAGCATAAAGGAATTCTTGAGAACTTCCCCAACAATTTTTTATTTTATTTTATTTTATTTTTTTTTAAATTTTTTATTTTAATTAAAAAACAAAACAAAAAAAACACAAACTAGTGTTGATATATCCCAGTAGTCTTATAGTATTGTTTGGTGCCTCGCTATGGAACAATAGTTAGAAAGCCACTTGAGCAGGTCATTACTCCTGTAATGCATTCAATATTTACTGGATACCCCACTATTTAAATGGATGCCATGGTTGGCATCTAATTTCAGAGCAAGATAACTCTGAGTTATAAAAAATCATAACAATTACCACTGGTCTGACCCTCAGAAATGGGGGATGTGAATGAGTGTAAAAATTCCAGAGAGAGTAAATCCATAAAATAACAATATGAATAATGTCAAAAGAAAAACTTATCTTAGCTGACATGTTTCAGCCTCTGAGAGACTTTATCAAGGCAAATGTAAGGATTTTATATTGTTGCATGTGTTTATATACAAGAGCAAACATGTTATTGTCATTTTTTTTTTTTTTAAATTGAGTGTATAAGAGTATGTATGTATGTATAATATATATATATATATATATAACACTAGTCATAACTTGAGTTTTATGCTCCTTTGATCATCACATGACTTGAACAGAAATGAAATGGAGGAGGGGGCAGGCTTTTAAGGAAATTATTTTTAATGTAATTATTTTTTATTTTATAAAAAAAAGTTTTATCGTTATGCTTTAGGGCGATTCATGGGTTACATAAAGCCCTCCATTCTTTCATTTCTGTTAAAGTCATCTGAAGATCTTGCGAGTGTGAAACTCAAGTGCCATCCTTTCATAGAACTTAATGTCGGTAAGCATTTTTTTGCTCAGTCTAGGCAATCTAGTTTTTGAGCATTTTACTGAGTAGGTAAGTTTGCATTAAGGCCTTTTTTTTTTAATTCTTTTTCAGTATTGTTGTCTTGTTTCAAGAATGTATCTGAATAAGTTTCAGGTTTTGACAGGTTGTTTGTGGTTTTCATTTTTCTTATATATATATATATATACATATATATTTTGGAACATCTGATAGATTACATTTACTATAGCAGCAATCATTTGTATTTTATTTCTTTCATTAGGAAAATGTTTTATAAATTTATAATTATTAAGCTTAGCTGCTATTTACAAATAAACTTTTTTTAATTTTTTTTTGTGTGTGTGCTGGGAATATTTTTAAGTGAATGTTTAATATTGTTTCTTCGATAATCATAATCATTGTTGTTTTTTTTTTTTTTTTTTTTTGAAAGGGAATATTTTTCAGCAACATTTAAAAGATGTCTAGCCTAATGGTTTCAGCCCCAGACGACTATGCAACATGTCCATATGATATGACTCATCGTATTCTGTGGCAAAGAATGCCCTTTCATTTGATTAAGTGTCGTAAACAGCACCTGCTTTCCCCTTTGCAAACTTGCCCGTTTGACACTAAGCATCTTGTTCCACAGCAAGAAATGCCTTTTCACATGTCCATGTGTGAAGCTAAGGTAATTCTTGGGCTTGACATTGCCAACAATATAGCACAACAAGAGAGTTGGCAAGAAAAGTTGGAGGCTTGCCACCAAATGCCAGAAACATCTCTCCCTAGTTTTGCAGAAGAAGAAGAAACTGCAATATATAGATCCAGAGGCAGTCTAGTGAGGAGGAAATTCCCTGGTCATCTCCAGATGAAAAAGACCCTTGTCCAAATGGACACCTCAGACATGAAAGAGAAAGAAGAGATGTGGGATGATGACATGCATCAGAGTGGAATTGTGATAAAGCCCTTTAAATTGGGGGAGAGGTGCATGAACTCTGACTTCACAAGATACCAGCATTATTCTTCCAGGGACAATTCAGTTCCCATGAGGCCACCACTGAATGTTGTCCAAATTAATGAATCCAGGCAAGCTAAAAGTACAATTGTATATAGTTATGCAATGAATTCTCTGGGTATCGGACGTGGGGCCGGGCGTGGGAAGAACATCGCTACATGTGAAAGCAAATGTGGTGATATTCTGTCAGTATCTCAGGTTAGTTCACTTGGAGCGGGTCGTGCTAGAAACCAGCTTTTTCACAGAGGAAAAGAAAAACGTGACAATGAGGGAAGGTTCTGTTAGGACCCCACAATCTTATGTTTTTTGATTAATCATCATCTAGTCATTTTAACATTTTCTCTATCGCTTATCTTTTAGAAATCACCAAAGTTGTGTTGGATAAAAAAGAAATTGTTTCATCATTTGAATTGGCTATCTTGACTGACAATTAATAAAATCCTTCCTCAGAATTTAGTCAGAAACTTTCATTCTGAAGAATTTTGCTTATTAGAAAAAAAAATAATATATACCATAGAAATTTATATTTGGTTAGCAAACAAATATTTCTTTTCTAGTTAAAATTTAAAAAAATGTTACATGACAAAAGGAATATATTCAAAATGAAGAATATTTAGGAATCTTTATTTTAAAATTGCCAAGTTAAACTGTATTTTATGAAATAAAATTCCTTGAAAATCAAGGTAAACAGAGAAATGATGTGTTCAAGTTTTGGACATGAGTTCTAAAATGGAGATTGCAAACTAGCAAGAAGCAATCAAACACGTGTTAAGGAGAGTTCTCAAGCTTTTTGAAATGCAAGGAGACATTTAGATTGTAATCCTCATCTCTGATTTCATAAAAAAAAACATTTCATTTGACGTTCTCAGTTATATTTCCAAGTGTTTTTGATCAGTGAATTAACAATTTTTTTTTAATTTAACATCTTTGACTGAATTAAAAAAAAGTAGTAAAATTTTTATATTTGTGTGGTCACCTGGAATTTAAAAAAAAAAAAAAAAACTAAAACAGTCAAGTTTTTGTTTTTCTTTTTTTTTTTTTTTTTTTTTTTGAAACATTTGGAGAACATTTATACACTTTTGTTGCTTACTTTATCCTTTCCTTAAGTGTAATAAATTTATTATTAAATTATAAATTGATTAATGGACAAATAACTTGTAATAATCATTGCCAGAGTATTCAATTGTAGTACTTTCGTAAAAATGAGGACATTTTAAGCAAATAAGACAAAGGGAGATAATCAAAACAACTGCAAGGTGTTTTATCGTTTCTCGGGTGCTTCAAATAATATTACATTTTTGCTCAATATTTCGCTTTCTGTTTATCCAAAATAGTTGGACAGTTATTTATTTTGAGAATATATTTTTTTGTTAATTTTAAAGTATAATTCGTATATTATTGTACATGCAAGTACATGACAATACTTTCAGTAAGAAAGAAGTAAGAGACTAGCTACTAGTAACTAGATAATGCGAGAGTAAAATAAGGTTCTATATACTCTTCTCATCTTATGGTATGATTATTTGCTTTTTGTCTTTTTTTTTTTTCTAAATACATGTAATTTTTTTTTTTTCAACTTTTAAAACTTAAACACACACACACACACACTTGTATGTGTTTTGTTACATTGCTGACTCTCTCAATGATTTGTAGATGAAAAGATGCAGGTGAAAAATATTGCCTCATCACAAAAAAGGTAAAGTTAACTTTGAAGGAAGTTTTCAGAAAATAAGTTTCCCTTCTGCTGAATATTTTAAGACTTTGAAAACCTCAAGTTATTTACATTTTCTGTACTTTTTTTATACTTGTAAAAATTTATAATAAATTATAATTAATAAAGTTATTGGCTCTTTTGTTAATTATTAATTACCAATTATTTTTTTTAGAAGTCTAATAAATGCAGTTTTATTATTTGATTTGTGGATTAGTTGCCTTCAGTTATTGACAGAGTTCCCACTAGATATCTTTATTGATGCTATAAGACTATTTTTTTGTATGCTTTCACTGCTGCATTGTGGCCTGGCTATGCTGGCCCAGTTTGAAAAAGAATACCAACTTGTCATTTACTGAAAATAATTAATTATAAAGATGCTGATACTCTACAGTACAGGCTAAGGTGAGCACCACCCCAGCACAAAATATAATAAAAATACATCAAGAAATGTTCTGTATGCTACTCTGTCTCCTCTGGTTTTGAAATAATACCAAGCTCTCACAAAGAGTGTGAGTTCAATACCCAGTTAAGGAAGTGGAGAACTTGGAGAGGGGAATTAACAGGAGATAACTGACATCCATTAAAAACATGGCATGTGGAACTAGAACAGTCTACCCCAGTGAGTGAAATAAATGGTTCAGTTAGACATTCCAACCGCCTGAAGAAGGCCATTGTAATAAATATGGCGACAAAGATGAGAACAATAGTCCAAATAATGTAAATAATTATCTTGATGACCAATCTAGTTATCATCATCATTGCCGATCTGACCCCCGAACTACGACCACTCAATGGAAGGAGGTCCTCTCAGGAAACCACTGTGCCTTGAAAGACATTTTTGCCTCGAAGTCACGCCCGAGCTCAAGTGGAACTTGTACATACAATCCATTGCTAAGGATGTAAAGGAGTTGGCTCTCTGAACTGCTCTAGTAAGTATATGACCCTCCTGTTATCCTCTACCTTTACAAGAGCCAGATCAGGCCAAAAATGGAGTTCTCTTGTCATATTTTGGTGGGAACTGTCCAGACCTTACTCTCCAACTCCAAAATAGAGTTCAAAAGTGTCTTTGAGCCCTTGTGGGTAATGACCTATCTCCACCCTTCAACCTCTCTCCCACAGACAGGATGTGGCAAACCTCTCATTGCTCTACCGCTAGTTCCACGGGAAGTGCTTGGTTTCCTGATCCTGCCAAGGAAAACCTTCCCAACAAGAACACACCATGCTATGAAGATAACGAACCACCCACATTCAATCTGTATTCTATTGGTGAGAAGTAAATTCCACTCGAATGGCTTCTTTCCGCGAACCACTGCCCTGTAGAACTGACACCCAACTGGATGTTTCCTGATCACTACAATCTTAATCGTTTCAAGGCTGGTGTAAAATATTGTCTTTCACTCCTGTACACAGAAATGACTTCCAAATGTAGCCCTCTACCTCAAGTGGCTCTTGAGCCTTGTAAAGGGGGAACCTTGCTGTAAAATATAAAAAAAAAATATTAAAGAAAACCAACTATGGTGTGACCAACAGACAACTTGCCAGATGGCTTAACATCTTAGACAAAAAAAAAATATCCTAAACAAGGAAAGAAAAAAAGAAAGACTAAAAGGTAAACTCCTACCTATGCATGAGTGTTCACTACCCAGACAGAAAAAAAAAAAGAAATGCTTCCTAATCTCAGTATTTAACAAAGGACAGTTCAAGTTTCAAGCTCCTGTGATCTTCAGATGATTAGAATGTCAACACCAGGCAATATAAGTTTTGTAAAGATGCTTGTCTAAATATGTTTATCATAGTGGTAGTGTTAAAAATTCCTTAAGAAATTTTTAGGTCATTGCTTTTCTTCTGGGGTGACTGAACATATATATATATATATATATATTTATTTATTTATTTATTTATTTATTTATTTATTTTTTTTTTTTTTTTTTTTAGGTAATTCACCCCAAGCAAGGTGGGGGTGCCATTAGCACGCAAGGGGTTACAGAAGATTGAGAACAAGAGCAAAGAGGCACATTTGAGGAAAGGACACAGAGGAGGACAGGGAACAAGCTCAGGGTGTCAGATGTCGATTGACATTACACTTGAATATTTGAATATTTGACGTGGGTTTAGTTAGTCCAAAGTAGAAATTGTTTAATATTCAAACATTTATTAACTCCTATACATAGTGTTTGTGGAATGTATGTGACATATATAAATAAATAAGCAAGACCTAATGCAGTTTATAATTTTAAAAAGGATCATAACATTCATCAAGTGGTTAGTGTGTTAATATATTTTTAAAATTTAGTTAGCGAAATGAATTCACCATTTTATCTCATTAACTTTACTAATTTACTTTTTGTATAAATGATTCATTGTTTTTATATATATATATATATATATAATATATATGAAAAGTGTGTGTATATAAATATAAATAAAATATATATATATGTATAATTATTTATATATTATATGCACGGTACTTATTAGAAAGTGCTATCAGAGATAGAGCTAACATATTTGGTTGGATAGATGTGAGTTTGTGACCCTGGGTTTCACGCTTTAGCGATCGTCAGACAAACTGATTAATTAAAAAGAAAATTAATCAGTTTGTCTGACAATCGCTAAAGCGTGAAACCCAGGGTCACAAACTCACATCTATCCAACCATATATATATATATATATATATATATAAATTTTAAAGTGGTTGGTATCAGGGATAGAGTGTATGTAAATATAAAAATAGACCTTGACATCAGTACCCAGCAGTGACAGTCTGTTTCATGCTTAAACACAATCTTCAGTTCATGTTCTGAAGATTGTGCTTAAGCATGAAATACTCTCACTGCTGGGTGTTGACACACACATTTTTTACATATATATATATAGTGCACACACATAGAGGATGTGTAGCTGGTGCAACGCAGCTTGGAAAGGGGAATTAGTGAGCTGAGTTCAAATTCCAAGGAATTTTCTGCTCACTGACTTATAAAAAAAACAGTAACAGCTAGACTTGAGTCATTTCAATGCTGCCTGTTGGTGTGATACAGGCTGTCCATCAAGATTAATTTCGGACTGTCAGTGGTGAGGTAGGGAATGGATAGAGGAGTGATAGGAGTCGAGGCTCTCTTTGGCCTGGCCTCAAGGAAGACCTTGTCCGTTAGCCTGTCGTTACAGAAGTAGCAGATGGTATCCCAAGTGTTACCTACCATCCTACCACCACGCAAGACTGCCAGTGAATTATTGAGTAAACAAGATATATGGTGGTGGGGAGGAAACAGGATTTGCATTAATATTTCTCCCCTTTTCATTTTACCTTGTGAACATACATCAACCATTTCCCACTTTTTGTGCACACCAATGCAAACGAGAATCAACACAATGTGTGGTAATTTGTCCAGACGGTGAAAGAGCCCCCCTCCTTGCATGTTTACAGAATGATAGAAATCAGTTGAAATTAAAAAGAAAAGAAATACTGGTCAAAAATTAATAACTGACAAATGCTTCAACTAATAATAATTATAGAATAGTCAACTGGGTCCTAAATCACTTTGAGTCTAAAGTGTTTGGTGCTTTTATAAACAGCAGTAAAATCTACGAAGCGGCTATTTGTTGACTAACAGGAAATAGAGAAGATAGATAGAAACTATTGGGATCAAGTTCTGCTTGGCTGGAAGTTAGGAAGTTTCAGTATATATTAGCAGAGTCACAGAAAAGGCAGAGAATTCTACACTGCTCATGCTTGTTCCCTTCTATTTGATAAGAAGGAAGGTCCACTCGGACAGCTTCTTAGCCAGAACTGTCACTTTGTGGAACAAATAGAAAGGATGCTTTCCTGAGTACCACAATCTTCACCTCTTCAAGTCTAGTCTCAACCGTTATCTATCCTACATATCCTCGTGATATGCACCTCTTCCTGCTCCCTTTACACCCTTACAATAAACTCATTCAGTAACCCTCTACCTTGGGTGGCTCTTGTGCTTTGTATTAGATGAACAGTAGTATATATCCCCCCACCTCCATAGTACATGTTTACCCCCAACCGCGAAAAATATATACCCCCACCCCAAAAAAAAATCTTCTATAAGGTCTTCTGTTTTCTGACAAGGTTGATATGTTTATCAACTTTTTGCCTTTATTAATTTTTCTTCCTTCACAATTTTTTTTTCTGAGCTGTTCTGTTTCTTTTCTTCTTGTAAGGGACCCTTAGCAGCAGACACTTGAAACTGTGAGGAAGGAAGAGGAGTTTGTAGTTAAAAATAAAACTGACCCAGATTGTTGACATAGTTTTCTTGCTCAGGGATAGAGATGTAGGACAGTGGGGTGGAAAATTGAGTAAGAGTAACTCTTCATAGCTTCATAACCTTTATCTACCCGCCACCTACCATTTTCTCCGATGAAAACCTTCAACGCCTCAAATCTCCAGCTACAGTTTTTATCTACATCTTTTAGCTAACCTAGATCCTGGTTTTTAGTGCGTAAGCACTGGCCAAAGTTTACAATAGGGCGGTGTAAATAGGCCAAGCTGTCTCCTTTCACACCCCCTTTTTTCCTATTTAGTCAAATCCCTTTCCTTTCTTTTTTTTTTTATATACTTTTTCTTCTTCTTTGTCGCCTCGTCCAGACGTCTCTGCTTACCCCTTTTTTTTTCTAACTCTGTATATTCTTTTTCCTCTCCTTCTCCCTCCGCTATCGTTTCCTTTTTGTTTTCTCTTTTCTTCCTCTTTCCTCTCCTATTTTTCGTTCGTTTTGATCCTAACATTATTGTTTGTTTAACTTTGCAATAGGTAAACGAACAGAAAAGAAAAAGAGAGTGAAAAAAAAAAAAAAAAGGAAAAGAAAAAAAAGGAGCCTTTCTTAGGTTTCAAAACTTTAACAAAGCAAAGAAAATAAGAATGAGACATTTCTTCTCCTTTGAATTGAAACGGAAGAAAATCTTATAAAATTTCAGCGGAGGAAATTTATGAACACGTATCTGGAGGTTTGGGATAGGTAGCGTACCGATTATCAGCGCTGCAAGTGGAATCAAGGAACCGAGTTCAAACTGCAGCCAAATCTGTTGCGTTCCTAGGAAAGGCACAACACAAAATCATTTCCCTCCCCGCAGCTATAAATAGCAAGAGTAGATTGAGCTCTATGGCAACCAATCAAAATCTCCGAATTCTAAACTGTGGAAAAGGCAATAAGAAGATCAGTCCACTATGTTAGTCAGGATTATTGATTGATTTGTTTTTTACGGCTTATCAACCTTGTGCAACTTATTTAAAGCCAGAAAATATTTTTAGATTATAAGAATTTTTGGGAGATAATGATTTAGTGATACAAGTTCAACTAATTTACTGCATAGCTTCATACATTTCCCAAATGTATTTGCGTGTAAGTGAATGTAACGAACCCAACTGGAACTGGAACTCAGTTCTCCAATTCCGATCCATTATTCATTACATTACCCGCGCATCCAAACCTGCAGTATTTGATATTTCCGAGGCGTCGAAAGGTATTGACCAGGCTCAACGTTGACCGTACAAGTACCGGTTGTCGGGTCGACCGGAAGTTTTCATCTCAGGACTCGAATGTCCAAAATCAGTCATTTACGCATAGGCTCCGAGTAGCACTTCACGTAGCGTTGAAAACATTCAAAATATAAATTATTATTCGATCACTGACAGCGTTTCCCTCGCATTTTCGAAGGACTTTTTTGTGAGCCAGCATCTGTTAAAGGAAGCTATAAATACAGGCCATAAAGCAAACAAGAGGGTAGTTGTCGAATGGATTTCGCGTTGTCAACTTAACCGATTGACTAATCCACTGAGACATTTACCGCTTCACTGACGTAGATTCTACAATGAATCCAAGGTGTGAAGCTTCTCCCTTCCCAGGGGTTTTATTAAACACAACTCATGTCTTTGTACTTTTCCATTTTTATAGACTTTATTAAACATACCTTAATGTGTACATGTAAACTTAACCTTCTTCTCAAGGGTCTTATTATATTCACCATACGATATATAAAGCATCTAAATAAATTATTTATTGCTTCTTTTTCATTTTAAATTGACATATTTAAACGTCTTGATTAATCATTGCGTTGTACGTTGGATTAAGATTAACGACTTAAGAAAATACCTTTTTGTTTTTAACTTATGCGAATGCGGCAAAAAAAAAAAAAAAAAAAGAAGAAGGATTGTGGCTTTATCTTCTAAGTGATGAGGTGTTTCTATCTTGAAAATCAGCATCCAAGGTATTCCTTCTCGCATACCGACCTCTGGCATCAGCGTACAAGACGTAACTAATCAATCATTCGAGGGATTGCTTTGTATACCCTTTATATGCATTAGACTTAGGAAGATTTGTTTAGCCTGACAAAAGGCCGCACGAAAGGTTAGAAAGTGGGAGAGTGATGTAATACAATTGATTTTCCTTATGAAAATCAACAGTTGATTTTTTTTATTGTAATTGACTAGCAGCAACAGTAACTCGACTACCAAACTCGCTCTTTCGTATTTGACGGCATATAAGGCGTACTTTTTTTTTTTTTTTTTTTTACTAAAAATATATTTTAAAATTCCCCTGCGTCTTATATGACACATGTAGGTTTAAAATTCGCGATAGTCGGCCGGAATTAGCTACCTGGCAACTCCTATTAGCTTAGACTTAAGGAACAATGGAACACATGGATGGCAATGCCCGATTACGACCTTACACTTACAGGAAGAATAAAAAGACCCAACATTGCATAAGTCTGCGAATGGGTGAAACAAGATTGGGATAATATTAGACAGAAATTATTATGAAATCTTTTAAAAAGTGTGACATTAGCAATGCTCTTAATGGAATGGAAGATGACGCATTATTTAACGATGATAATAATAGTACTGTAAATGAGTTTTGATAACGAAGACGACGAATTTTATGGATATGAAGAGGAATAAAATTTTAATGGTAGCTGTACTGTTTTACTTTTGCTCAATTGTAATAATTGCTTGATTTTTATTTTGTTTTCTTACTTTTGGATATAATAAAGTTTTTATAGGCCCGTGTTCCTTTTTTTCCCCATTATTTTTCGTTTATTTGTAATCAAGGTTTCTTTAGCCAAAATGATACCTCATAAATATAGCTTAGGCTGTACCATTTACTAATTGCTATTTTTTTCTTGATTTTTTTTCTTGCTGAAATTGGGGTGCGTCTTATACACTGTCAAACACGGTATTTATAATAACGCGTTCATATTTATAAAGGATAACTTCAGCAAGTATGCTGTTAAAAGTAGATCTACCGAAGAAAATTGGAGTAATAAGAACAAATATGAACTATTAGAAATCGGAGAGCCGAGTTCGAATTCTAGTCGTGTTAGTTACATTCACTTACGCACGAATACGTTTGGGAAAGACAAACTTCGTTCTATAGCCTCGGTTGGCAACCAGTCTACCGGAGAAAGAAATAGCAGCCTACAACGGCAAAATCTGCCTAATCAGTCATGAATCGAAACTGACCTGATTGCCTAAGCGTGTTTAACTGACTACAATTTACTCCAGTGTTTCGTCCGAAACATTCTCTAGACATTTTTGCTAAGAATCTCTTTTCCGAAAAGAGTAGCTAACAAAGTAAATGGTTAAAGAAATAACAAAAGAAGTGTTACAGATATACAGTGTAACCCGGATATAAGAGAGTTGTCGGGACCGGAGAAGAAGTCTCTTATATCCGGGTTTGGTCTATTTTGTTTAGGTAAGTATGGGAACACTTTGGGACCATAGAAAATCTCTCTTATATCCGGGTTACACTGTATCATATATTAAACAGTAAGTACAACAGAAGAGTATTACACGACTAGTGAGTGTGTGTTGGTTGACCCAGGGTTCAGTCTATGCGACTGTTATATTTAACAGCCTCCCCTCGAGGGATGTATTTGGCACAAGGCCAAGTTTACCGTGAGTTCTCCGAGCCCGTAGGCTCGGCCAAAAATATTCCCTTTGAGCCCGCCTAAACGGGTTCAGGGCCTGTTTACCTCCCCGGACGAAACTCTGCCCTTCGACAAAGCCTCGTCCGAGTTCCTCTCCCGCTCAAAGCAGAGAGTTCGACAGAAACAAACAGTCTGGTCGACTGTTGATATTTAACAGTCCGCCACGAGGGTGTATGTGGCACAAGTCCGGTTTACTGTGGTTACTCCGAGCCCGTAGGCTCGGCCAAAAATATTGCTTTTGAACCCGCCTAAACGGGTTCAGGGGCTGTCAACCTCCCCGGACAAAACCTTGTCCTGCGGTAAAGCCTCGTCCGGGTTCCTCTCTGCCGAGGAAGAGAGTTCGACAGTTGAACAATTTATTCGATTGTTTCCCCAAGGCCTTCTCCCTTAATAATTTTATAGTAGGCGGAAGGACACCACAACAGTAGCAAACTGAAAAATAATGACAAATATCCTGATTGGATCAACCGGTTCCTATTAACGCGCAATACAAAAGATTCCATTCTCAGCAAGCCATATGACATAAGAGTTTCCTATAAGCAGCGATAATCTCCAATTATTTCTCTGCTTAGTTAAGAAATCCACTCCGGTCAGACTTAGACATTTGCTTGTTCGACAACTGTAGGTATTTATCTACACGCCCAATTCGTAACGGAATGTGACACAAGGTCGTGGGTTAATACGGGATTTCGGAAAGTTGTTCAAAAATACGTGTAAGTTTGCACGTTCGTCGTTTAAATGTAGAGATACATTTAGCAGGTTTTTTCGTTAATAGCTTACTGAGCATGCGTTCATATACTGGAGTATTTTATATAATATGTAGATGTATGCATATATATATATATAATATGAAGATGTCTGCATATATATATATATATATATATATATATATATATATATATATATATATATATATATATATATATATATATATATATATATATATATATATATATATATATATAAAGATATATATATATATATATATATATATATAATATGAAGATGTCATATATATATATATATATATATATATATGAAGATGTCTGCATATATATATATATATATATATATATAATATGAAGATGTCTGCATATATATATATATATATATATATATATATATATGATATATATATATATATATATATATATATATATATATATATATATGAAGATGTCTGCATATATATATATATATATATATATATATGAAGATGTCTGCATATATATATATATATATATATATATGAATGAAGATGTATATATATATATATATATATATATATATATGAAGATGTCTGCATATATATATATATATATATAATATGAAGATGTTGCATATATATATATATATATATATATATATATATATATGAAGATGTCTGCATATATATATATATATATATATATATATAATATGAAGATGTTCATATATATATATATATATATATATATATATAATATGAAGATGTCTGCATATATATATATATATATATATATATATATATATATATATATATATATATATATATATATATATATATATATATATATAGATATAATATGATATATATATATATATATATATATATATATGAAGATGTCTGCATATATATATATATATATATATATAATATGAAGATGTATGCATATATATATATATATATATATATAATATGAAGATGTATGCATATTACGAAGTGAAGATAGAATAATGATAAGTTTCTCTTTTTGAAAACAGATCTATTCTGAAAGATAGACACTGAACCCAGATATTGTCGGCCGCTCTTTATAGCAAGTAAGGAGATATTCATGAAATTGAGGGGAAGAGTTTTAAGTAAAAAGCTGAACGAAAGTGACAATAAAACAAATTTCTGAGTAGCCGAGCTGTGATATCAATCAGTAGTAAAATTGATTCAAAAATAAATATTAAAACATAATAAGTCCGAAAAAGAAAAAAATATGTCAGGATCAAGAAAATACCAAAAAAAACTGAAATTGAGGACGAGTGTTGAAGTAATGGTTTGAGGTGAATGTGATGTAAGGAGACCTAAGAAAGTCGCTGGTGTTAAGGCAGGGAAGTCTGTTTATATATCTCCTGACAAATACTGGCCTCAATATTTCAAAGACGAACTGGTGGTGCGGGGTTGGGGGGACGACGTAAAGAATTTGTAATCTTGATAGTTTCCTTCAGTTACATTTCTTTTTCTTTTCTATCCGATTCGTCATCTTTCTTCACCCGACTTACATTTCATTTCAGGGGTTTCGTTATGTATTGTTTTTACTTTGCCGCCATTTTGCATGGTTTTCTTTTTTCTTCTCTCTCTCTCTCTCTCTCGTCTATTTTCTTTTTCTTTCCTTTTCTTTATATTTCAATCGCTTATGTATGGTCAGAGACTAACCTTTTACCCCAGTCTTTTAGCGGATGAAGAATTATTATTATTGCAAGTATGAAGGTTGTTGTGTAACTATCAAGAAACCTTTTCTCTTTTGTTTGCTGTGTATATCGTATTTTTCTTTCCCTATGCAGACGACTCCCCTTAAAAAATCTCTTATTTTTTGAGAGCCTTTCTTTGTGCCTTCTCAATCTGTGACAACTTAAAAAAGTATGGTCTACTTGCTCGTAAGATTTATCCAGATCTGAAGTGTGAATGTATATTTGTCACGCACACACATTGAGAGATAAACTTTACTCACAGGCGTCCGTGCTGTTTTAAAAAGAATATTTCTTTCTGTGTGTACTTGCCTATATTAGGGTTGAATTAACTATTAAATAAAATCAAAAAACGTGCTGGGGACACTAAAGGACTATCTTCTGTAATCATTATGTCTTGTTATGACCAGATATTTGTGATAGGCTCGTGCAAAGAAAAAAAAAAGAGATGATGGTTATTGGTATAGAAAGAGAAATCAGTTTCTGTTTCGATCACTTCGCCCTATTGCCGTTGGAAAATGCATGAATTTTTTTCCCCCGGCTATGGAGTAAATAGAAGGGTCTGACTGGTCGAGGAAAATTCTGAATTCGACTCCAGACGGAAAAAGGATGGACGATGACACGTTCATCTTAATCTAGACACGCTCAATGATGTCCTGGTGCTCTCTTGACTCGTGATCGCTACTGAGAGTGATAAATTGTCGTAAAAAAAACCCAAAAAACATTGACAATATTTATCGCGATTTGTTTACAATATTTGAAGGTCTTAAACTATGAAAACCGAACATCTTTTTAGCTTTTGAAATGATAAGCTGTCCACTAGAAAACAGTATCATTTTTTTTCAAATTTTCTTTTATATTCATGAAGGTTCCAAATTGTCTAGACTCTCAGTGGTCACTTCAGTCAATCAGTCATGCGTGATACACGCTTAGGCGATTATGTATCTTTCGATACATAACTGACGATACAGACTTTTTTCCCCGGAGTAGGTTGCCATTTTTTTCTGCGGTAGACCAGTTGCCATCCAAGGTTGTCATTTAGTAACTTTTAATATCAACAAAATGTTATTTCGTTTAATGTCACATATAATAGAGATTGTCGTTTCCCGACGAGAAAACTGCGAGCCGGGAAGCGTTTTTATAATTCGAACGGGTCGGATTTACCTTCTGTGTCTTTGATGTGGACATATTTCTTAACGGGAAAACGGCGCTATGGGCTTGTATGCTGCCCACATGACAGTTGCCCCGGGCAGGCAGGTTTAACCTTGGTCCGTGCCCCCTCCCACCAAAAAACAAAAAACAAAACAAAATACTAGTGTTGAATCTTTGCGGCTAACCCAAAACTGACCGCTTTCGTCAGTCTATGAACTGACGTCATTAAGCGATCATTACGTGACCCTCGTAACTTCATCTCAAGCATAATCGCCATCTGCATCCCTTCAGTTGAAAGTCGGAAGTTTAAAGTTTCTCATTAATTGTCATATACATTTACAACATGAAGTGGTAGACATTTTAACAATATATTATGTTACTTCGAAGCGATGGATTTAGAAAAAAAAAGGAATAACACGGGTCCCGGTTGCTTAAATGAGGGTAGTAGCCAGTATTTCTGAAGTCTAAGGCCTCAAAATCTAGGGAACCTTCACCCAAGGTGTATAATATTTTTGACACTGTCATAGGCCTTTCTTACACATGCTGTCATAGCGCATTGTAGACTGTAAAACAACCCTTCAGTAATTTTAAACACCTGTCAACATCTTTCGTTTCACTCAAATCGTTTTATTTAGCATTCTTCCATTTTCCTCTACCCTTGAGAATGCAGGATTTGTAACTGTCTCACAAGTGGAATAGCCTAGGACCACTTCATCTAAAACCAACCCTGTTAGCAGCATTCTGTTGCTAATACTGGGATAGGTAAGTTAGTTATGAGAGTGGTTTACGGTACATACTCGTGTATTAGTCGACTTTATGTAGAATGCGACCCTTAAATTTTCTGCGTGAATTTTACCCACCCCCAGAAAAAATTTACCTGTGTATAGTGCAACCTGTCACCGAAAATGCATGACTTTTAACCTTTTGAAATTTAAAAAAAAAAATACCTGTGTATAGTGCGAACCCTTATTTTTTTTGAGTAAACAAAAACTGATCTTAAAACACTCGTATTATACTCGAGTGTATACAGTAATATTCAGCCACTTTCATCTGTCAACTATGCTATTGACGAGTATTTTTTTTTGTTCAGAAGATTCAGGGAGCAGTGGATTCATGCCTATCCCAAAGGCTGTAGTATTACGTGAGCATAAACAACCTTTGCTGGAATTCGAACTCTCTTCGCAGAGTTGTTGTTTATCTTTACGGGTTGTTATCGTTGCCTCACCGTCGTAGTCCCTCCCAGTCACCCCCTTATCCGTGAGGCTTATATTACAAGAGCTCTCTACCGAATTCCTGACACCGCAAATAGTACTAAACCCTTTATACTATGTTTTTTTTCTACAACATCAGAAGGCGCTGAAAAGTTTATCGTTCAACCTTATTTATGTGCCATGCGTGATACACGCTAAGGCGATCATGTATCTTTCGATACATGACTGACGAGGCAGATTTTTTTCCCGCAGTAGGTTGCCATTTCTTTCTGCGGTAGACCAGTTGCCATCCAAGCTTATAGAACCCGCTCTGTCCTGCTATTCACCCATAGCTTGAGAAAAGGATTCATACCTTTCCCAAGGGTATTAGCACGTCAGTCATTTATGCGTCATACCGGCGATCATTCTTTTACTTTTTTCCTGCAGTAGTTTGCCATTTCTTTCTGCAGTAGATCAATCCAAGGCTATAGAACCCAGTCTGTCCTGCTATTTACCCATAGCTGGGGGGAGAAGATTCATATATTTCCCAAGGGTATTAGCACTCTCCGCTATTCATTTACTGAAGCTAGTCCAACCTACTTTCTCAGAATTTAACCAAACATGAGATATATGGATCGGGTTGAGAACTTATCAACACTCCTAATCTTGCTTGTCCAACACTGCAAGATGTTAGTTAAAGAAACCAAAACATTAACCTAAAAAGCGTCATTTTCTTAAATGGCCTCGTCAACTCGAGACGTTTATATGATTGTTAAATATGAATGGCGCTAAACTTGTTCAAAAATATCTAAATGCATCGTTTTCTCAGATCAATGATTTAAAAATGGCTCCAAGCGAATTAACACTGTAAGTCTAAGAGAGGACCGTCCTTCTTTGAACCGCATGGACTGGCGCTACAGAATCACGATCAAAGAACCGTACCGGATAACAAAAATTACATCACTTGAGGAATTTCAATGGCAGCAACAACTAAAATGGATAGCACATGAAGAGAAAGTGGCGACATAATCCAGAAGTTGACGTTCCACACGACTTCAAACAAAAGGTTAGGAAGGAAACCTCCATCACTACTGGAAATAGATTTCTCAAATCCGCTGTTATCACCATTTCCCGTAAAAGTTTTAAGTTTTTTTTTAATAAATTCTAACCAACAGTAAGCATTGGCTGCTTGGTCAGTGAACGCCGAATGTTTCCTTTATAAGGAAACGGTTAATATTGCCATTAGTGCGAGCACACACACACACACACAACGAGATATATATATATATATATATATATATATATATATATATATATATATATATATATATGTGTGTGTGAGTGCGCAAATATATAGAAACATAGGAAAGAACACGTTAGGTAAATAATCTCAAGTTCTTTAGTATTTTGTTTTTATTTTAAAAAAAAAGAAGCAGTGCTCAATACAAAAGTAGACCCTAAATTTTAATTATTTTAAAAAAATATGATTCCTTCGCTTTACTTTGTGAAGGAATCATATTTTAAATATATATATATATATAGTTGAATATGAAGGAAAATTCAATTCATTTTTTATTTAGAGTTTTAGCATTCTTACATTTTGTAAGAATGCTTGAAAAACTAAAAAAAAACGAAACATGTTTAAACGAAAGGTTGCTGCTCAAATATACATTTCACACACACACACACACACACACATATATATATATATATATATATAGATAGATAGATAGATTGACCAATAAATAGTAGTCCGCCTTTCGTTTTGTGTTCAATAATCCCTACTGAATTAAGTGCATTGACAAGAAAGGAAATTGTTGAAAAAATTGTCCTGTTTTGTTTCTCTTTGATGGTGACATGCCTCTGCATTGTATTGATTCTTCCTTGAAAGAAAAACTAACTTGAATGTGAGAAGTGATTTATGTTCTAAGGGAAGTAACTCTGACAAGCAAACATTGAGTTGCTATTATTTTTCATAAGTTTTGTTTTTACTTTTATTCAACTTATTTGATAATACGTTGAAATAACGGCCTAAAAACCTTTCTTTATAACATATATTATTTTAGTGTCTTAATAAGTAAAATATTAAGAAACATAAAAATTTCGTTAGAAACAAAGAAAATAATACTGAACTGTTATGTAATATCAGCCGTCCTATACGGCAGTGAATGCTGATCAAGACGAGGAGCAACAGAAATGGATGCTGAGATTACTATGGATCGAACATGTGAGCAACGATGAAGTTTTAGAGAAAATGGAAACAAAAAGATCAATTACACTCAGGAAGAAGCAGTTGAAATTTCTAGGGCACATAATGAGGGCTTGGAGAATTTGATACGCAGAGGACAATCAACGCAAGAGTGACAGAGGAAGACAACGCATAACTTACCTAGCAAGCTTCAGTAAATGAATGGTGGAGGGGTAACAAAAACACAATTTATTAGAAGCTACAAATGATAGGAAATTGTGGAGAGCCATGATTGCCAACATCCTGAAGGGACACGGCACATAGAAGTGTTAAACTACGCACTACATAATCTGTAAAGAACTGACAATATATATTTTTTTTATTTTTGAAATGTAAATATAAGAAATAGGCAAACAAATAAAAGACGTGCTATTGTTGTACAAATATATTGAAATTATAAAATTAATTTGGTGTATATTCGTATTATTGC